TTACTGCTGCAAATAGTTACCACTCATTTAACACTCAATCAATTCTTAATATCTACTTTCTATTATCATTTTCAGATGAAGAAGATTCATCATCAGATTCAGGATGTTTGAGAATCTTGCTGCTTGGGAGGACAGGAAGTGGAAAGTCTGCAACAGGAAACACTATCCTCGGAAACGATGAGTTCCACAGTGAAGCAAGTTCACGTTTGGTGACCACTGTTTGTCAGAAGAGAGTTGGTGAAGTTGATGGTCAATCAGTAGCTGTTATTGATACTCCAGGACTCTTTGACCCCTCACTGACAAATGAACAAGTGCAGGAAGAAATAATGAAGTGTATTTCACTGTCAGCACCTGGACCACATGCGTTCATCATTGTGCTGAACGTGGAAAAAATCACTCCAGAGGAGAAAGACACTTTAGACGTGATCAAGATGATCTTTGGCTCAAAAGCAGCAGATTTCTGCATTGTTCTCTTCACTAGAGGAGATGAACTGAAACAACAAACAATAGAGCATTATGCAGAGAAAAGTAAAAATGCTGAATTCAAGACACTGATCAGTGACTGTGGAAACAGATTCCTGGCTTTTAACAACACAGAAACACAAGATCAGACACAAGTTACTCAGCTGTTAAATATGATAGAAGAGATGAAGAAGTCTAATCAGGGCCGATACTTCACTAATGAGATGTTTGAAAAGGGAGGGATCGCCATTGAACAGAAAATGGAAATGCTAGAAGAGAATAAAAGAAAAAATCTGTTTCAAGTTGAAGAATTAAAAGCCAAATATGACATGGAAATCAAAAGGATGGGAGAGAGACTGGAAGAGAAGAAACAAAGGAAAGAAGAGGAAAGAGAGAGACTGAAGAACAAGTTCAGAGAACAAGAGGAAACACTCAGGAGAGAGTTTGAGGAGAAAGAAAAATCTGAGCTGAAGAAACGAGAGATGAAGGAGGATCAGAAACAATCAGAAGAAGAGGGAAAAAAACAAAGAGCTGAATATGATCAAAGAATAGACGAGATGAAGAGAGAGATGGAAAATCAGAGAATACAGTATGAAAAACAGCTTACAGAAAGAGAAGAAGAAGATAGAAAGAGAGAAGAAGAATATAAACAAGATCAAGAACATATGAAAAATGATCATGAAAACATCATGACAGAGTTAAGAAAAAAACATGAAGAGGAAATAAAAAAGAGAGATTCAGAGGAACAAATGATGAAGGAACAAGAAGAGAAAGAAAGAGAAGAATGGAAGAGAAAAATAAAAGAGGCTGAAAATGACAAAGAGACTCAAGAGGAAATGAAACGACAGCAGAGAGAATGGGAGGAAAAGAAGAACAGAGAGAAGAGAGAACGAGAGGACGAGGAAAGAGAGAGACACAATGAACAGCTGAGAGAAAAACAAGAAGAACTGGAGAACAAGAGAAAGAAATACGAAAGAGAGAGAAAAGAAGAAGAACAGAGGATAGAGAAAGAGGGAGAGAAACTGAAAAGAGAGAGAGAACAGAAAGAAAGAGAATATAAAGAGAATATAAATGAAATGGAGAGACATTATGAGCAGCTGGAGCGAGAGAGAAAAGAGGAGTGGAGGAGAAGAAAACAAGAGGATGAAGAGAGACGAGTGGAGAAGAGAAAGAGATGTGAGAAAATGATAGAAGATCTGAAACGAGAGCAAGAGGAGGAGATCAAGAGAAGAGAAAGAGAGGAGACAGAAAGAATAGACAGAGAAGAAAAAGAGTGTGATGAAATGAAACAGAAACATGAAGAACAAATAGGGAAGATGAAGAAGAAACATGAAGATGAAGCCAGAAAACAAAAAAAAGAATTGATACATTTAAGAAATAGAAAAGAGCAGCAGGTTCAGGAGCTCAAGGAGAGACTTGAACAACTAAATGAAGTGAAAAGGTTAAGAAAGGAACTAAAAGATAAATGGTCATGCCATGTGATGTGAAACATTTTTAATATACTGTATATGGATGAGTAAAGGTCAACTGATTTTACAGATACCGATAACTAGATTACACCACACTGGCCGATAACTGATTAATCAACCGATAGTTTTAAAATGGAAACTGAATGTGGGAGGGGATTTAAACTGCTTAATGGACCCACTTTTAGATACATTTTCTGCAGGTGGTACGTTTCCATCTAAGCAAGCTGGGTTGCTAGTGGACATTTGAGCTGATTTGGGATGTATTGACGTCTGGCGAATACTTAATTATGGTGTTAAAGGTTTCTTGTGAGATCTCTGATCAGGCACCATTCTTTATGGAACTCCTACACGTTGAAAAAAGTGTCTCAATTTGGTAGGTGGAGATTTCATCCTTTCATATTTTCATTCAGAATTTAAACTTTTCTACAAAATCAAAAATACCATAGAGGTTTCTCCTTCAACGTTGCAGGAAAAGTATTTTCTCGGGGCATTATTATTGCATATGAAAGTAAGAAGAAACGAGATAGTCTAGAAAAGCAGCGAGTACTGGAGCTGCAGTTGGCTGGGGCTGAGGGAGAGTATGTATGAAATGGAAACCCATCTAATACCAAACTAAATAAAACTTTAGCTGCAAGAGCGGTGCCTAACTCCTTTCTTACTCAGGAAGCACGTCAGAATATTTGGTTTGTCAAACAAAAATAGTGAGTTTGGCAATAAGCCAGGCAAATACTTGGCCTCGCTGGTGAAAAAGAGGGCTGGCTCACTAAATATGTATCAGACTCTTCAGGCCAAAAAAAGATTTAATAGCACGAGTATCAAACTTATATTCAAAAACGTTTTACGCTGACTTACACACCAGCAAAAAAAAAAAAAAGTGAATAGGGCTGAGTTGATTAAAAGTTTTTTTTTTCCAAAATTAATTGATCAAAAATGTGATGTGCAAAGAAAAGAGCTAAATGGGCCTATAGGTAAAAAGGAACTCATGGAGGCTTTGCAAACTGCACGTTTAGGGAAAGTGCCAGGACCTGACAATTTTAGCATAGAGTTTTATAAAGAATTGTAACCTTTGGTTACTGGAACCGCTGCTCCAGATGTTTAATTTTTCTTTTGAATTAAATTCTCTAACTATATCTCTTAGAGAGGCTAATATTAGTCTTATACTTAAAAAAGGGAAACCAGAGGATAAATGCTCTTCATACAGGCCTATTAGCCTTCTGAATACTGATTTGAAATAGCTAAAAGTTGTCTCATTTTTAATATATGCTCTGAGATTACAGTCTGAAAGATAAGATACTGCCAAGTATTATGTCAAGGTTCGTTCACAGATACTGCTCTAGTGATATGCGAAGATTGCTTAATATTATTAAATTATCGCAATATCAAAATCTTAATAGTATGGTTATTTCTTTAGATGCTGAAAAAGCATTCGTTGTGCTGAATGGGAGTTTTTGTTTTATACATTTAATTTTTTCGAGATGGGGATACTTTTACACAATTAGTCAAGACAATGTTCGATAGTTCAGTAGCAGCAGTTATTACAAATGGCATTCTGAGAGTTTCTTAGGATTAGGCTCTAGAATGGGTAAACCTTGCTTTTTTGCTATGGTTATTGAACCAATGATTTTTGTACTTATTTCAAATTATCCCAATTCTCCTAAATTGCACTATAATTAAACATATTAATGGCTGGTTTAGCTCTTTTATTTGGAACCAGAAGAAACCAAGACTGAAACTAAGATGCAACCTCCTGGAAATAAAGGAGGTCTTGCAGTTCCAGATGTTAGGTTGTATCAGTATATTTTTGAAGGGGTGAGAAATTATCCAGATTTAGTTGGGTTAGGCATTGCATCATTCAACTTAAGCATGGAACACACTACACAATTTTTGCCCCAATTTTCCGCCAATTTACAGTCTGGATAAGTTGTCTCTAGTTGCCAAAAGTCAGAGTCAGTCTACAGACGGGAGTTAAAGGGGTCATATGATGCGATTTCAATTTTTCCTTTCTCTTTGGAGTGTTACAAGCTCTCGGTGCATAAAGAAGATCTGTAAAGTTGCAAAGACTAAAGTCTCAAATCCAAAGAGATATTCTTTATAAAAGTTAAAGGGGTCATATGATGCGATTTCAAGTTTTCCTTTCTCTTTGGAGTGTTACAAGCT